ACCAATGGGCCTAACGTGGTGATGTTTGTTTTTAGAGCATCCCCAGCTACTGCCATAAGTTCACGAGCCAATGACACACCTATCACTCCCTTGTCATCTTCTCTTTGGTACACACAATTGTAGCTATTGTCATCAGCTCCTTTATGGGTTCGAACCGTGTGGACCAGCTCGTACTTAGACCGGGTTCGATCTCTTGACTTGTTAGACAAAAGCATAGCTGCACCTCCCATACGAAATATACAATTGCATAGCAACATTGACCTATCATTTCCAAAATACCAATTTAATGTAATGTTCTCCATGCTAACAACAACTGCATATGTGTTTGGATTTGCTTTTAATAGATGTTTGGCTAAGTCAATTGAAATGAGACCAGCACTACAGCCCATGCCACCTAAGTTGTAACTCTTGATATCAGTTTTGAGCTTGTAATGGTTGACAATCATTGAGGAGAGAGATGGTGTTGGATTAAACAAGCTACAATTCACTATAAGAATTCCAATTTCCTCGGGCTTGACTTTGGTTTTGGCAAAAAGTTGGTCCAATGCACCGAACATGACTGCCTCGGCCTCCGCTCGTGCCTCTTTCATGCATAGGTTTGGTGGGTTGGATGTGATCCCTCTAGGAAAATAGGTTTCGTCACCTAAACCAGAACGTTCAGATATTCTTTTTTGAAAGACTATAGTCTCGTCAGTAAATGCGCCGTTCTCTTCTGTCATCTTCAAGAACGAATCCACGGACATTTTTCGCTCATCTTCAGGTTTGTAACAAGCAAAATCAACCAAATAAACCGGTCTAGGTTTCTTGACATAGTAAATACCTAAAAAGAAAAAGAGCACTATTAAACCGGCAAGACCGGTTGAAGTGTCAACAAGTAAAGTTGGACTTGTCCATATATCAGAAAACCGGTCTAATTTTAGACCGGTGAGCTGAATAAGAGTGAGGGTAACCATAGGCAAAACGGTAACGAGGAGAAGAAGAGAAGCAGGGTTGCATGAATAACCATACCCTAGCTTAACATATTTAAGCTTTACAGATTGTAAAAAATCAGGCAATTTTCGCCGAATTTTGATAACAACTGAGGATGAATCTTTGAAATCCATCTCTGCTGTTAGCCTCTCTTTTTCCATTTCTATACTTTCATTCGCCATTTTTGTACTAAGCTTCTTTAACAAAAGAGTTCAAGATTGTAGTAGAAGAAGAAGTCTACAAGAAGCTGAACTAATTAAACCTCCAAGAAGAAAAATAATTGTATGGAGTTGTCTTAATCAAAGGCAAAAGAAAGGGAACACGCTTTAAGTAGTAAGTTTTGGAAAGAAAACAAAAGGGAGATTAGCTTCTTTAAGGAAGAAGGAATGAGTAAGAAAGAATAGGAAATACCAACATATATAATGGATACAAGAAAGATATATAGATATATTATGTTACTTAGACAGCATGGTGTTAGTATGTAATTCAGTTTTCGTAAGGAGTGTGGGGTTAGGCATGAGTTGTTCCAAGTAAGGATAGATATATAGCTCAACTACCAAAAAGAAAGAGAATTAATGGAAATTATTGCCAAAAAATAGTTCCAAGTTGCTAACTAGCCAAAACTAATAATGGGGTATAGTACTAAAGGTGTGGAACACGAGCGCCGCGGATCTACTGTGTTAGGTATGGGTACGTGTGAATTTAATATTTTTTGTTCAAATTCTATATTTATGTTTTGAAATTTTCTAAATATTTAAAAATATTTAATTATAAATTTAATTATTATTATAATATTAATTTGAGGTTGCTATAAGAAATCATAAATTCAGCGTTTTTTTTCTAAGAACTATGATTATTTGTTGTTGTTGAGAAAAGAGTGGTGGTAATTGACCAAGAACAAAGTGAACATGTGGAAATTTGGGATTTCGTCCAAGCAATCATATTAGGACATATTCAAAATGGCCGCTATACTTTCTTTCTTTCATACTAGTTGGCAACTATTTGCACGTGGAAAATGACACTGTATAGCCGCTATAAAAATAATAACTAAAAAAATGTATAAAATTTATATATTTTTTGTATATATATATTATGTATGTTATATACAAAAATTATATAAATTTTATACACTTTTTTTTATTATCGAATATAAATATTTTTTTGCGCGGGCTAAAAGTGATAATACCCCTTACGTATTCCCCACATGCAATGAAGCAGCAAATTTTCATGACTCCGCCTCGTCCCCACTTCAGTTACACAATATATGCATGAATTTAACGTTTACGTATATCCTATCACTCTATCACATAATTTGTGTTTTTTTTAATGTAATTATTAATTTTAATTTTTATGAATAATTATTTGTGATTATCATTTACATAATTAACCAAATAGTAATAAAAGTTTTTTTACACGGTTATTTTACAAAATTAAACTCTATAAATCTTTAGATTCCAACCATATCAAACACGTTCGACGTTTTATATGTGAACTATATTCAATACCATTCAATTATATAACGAAACAATTTAAATTATATACATTAATAATAATTTTTTTTATACTATGGGTATAGTTTAACCTGTAATAGCAGGTAACTTATATTTTTATCAAATAATAATTCAATACTTTTTAAAAAAAATACCTTTAATTACGTTATAAATAATCAAATTGTATAAAAAAAATTACTATTTTTTTTAAAAATAGAAAGAGCAGAAGAGCCAAACCTNTATATATAAGCATCCTTCAAACACTTGTACAAGTTTCCTTAATTAACCACCGCTACTTTTAAAGGAGTGTTAATCAATTCATTTTTAATTGAGCTTATTAAACACTCACTTCCCTTGTGATTTTCAATATTACGTTTACCTCTCTTATTTTGATCTTTTGTAAAATTTGTTTTAGCCTTTTGAATTTTTGTAAAAAATGATGAAATTATCCTTTTAAAGTTTTTAATGATTAATTAACTTACTGAATATCTTCTTTAAGTAATTTCTTTATAATAACCTAATTCTTTTTCCATCAATTACCATTAGATCTTATTATGTTTTATAATCCCAAAATGTTGCCAAATTCGGCCAGTTCGTCACTCCAAACATTTTTCTACCTCATGGAATTTCTCTCTGTTTTTAATTTATTCATTTATTTTTTTGAAAGTAATTTATAAAATTAAGTCATCAAAAGCACACGATATTAGAAAGGGATTTTGCAAAGAGTTCCAATAAACCATGTCTCATGTCGAGAGGAATGAAGTAAAATCCAATCATTTTATATTGTGATTGAAGATTATCATTGATTTCATTTGGGCCATCATCAACTTCAATGGCGTACTTTTGACAACAATGGTTAGGGATCTTATTTCGTAAACACATACAGTAATTGTATGTAGATCTCTTAGTGCAGGCTCAAGGGCCAAGCGGCTGAAGCAAGGGCTTTAGGCCCCTAAGCTTCTAAGGCCCCATTTTTTTAACTAATAGTAAAAATAGGTTAATTTATGACAATTATCTTACAAAATATTTAATATTCATGGTAAAAAAGTATAAGTTTGATGGTGACTGATGATTAATTTATATTCTAATGTATTATTTTTTTCTTTCTCGCTAAAAATCTTGTATTTTAATTTTTCCTTCACCATCACTTAATTTTCTATTTTCTAAAAGACACGAGCGAAATGCATTGAAAAAATTAAAATTGCACTTCTCGTTCTTTCTCTAGTTCTCAAGCATTACAGCAAACAAATTAAAAATATTAAAATTTGATTTGATATAAAATTATCAACATTTAGAATCGAGTTTGATTATTCTAACTTGCTATTATATTTTTCTTCAAATTTGAAATTTATTTGTGTATCTTTATATGTAGTAGTGTATTGCTTTTCATTATTTTATCAGAATTTAAATATGTAACTATAAATATGAATCATGTTACTTAATATGATATTTTTTAAAGTACAAGGCCTCTTAATATTGGTTTAAAAAGGTTTCGTAATAAACTTTGGCTTTAGGCCCCCATTGTTCTTGAGCCGGCCCTGAGATCTCTGCCTTTATGCTTACTTTTGAAGTGTGTTCATATGTCTTGTTCATCCTAAAACTAAAATAAAATTGACAAGGAAAAATATACTTTCGAAGGGTAAATTGGTTAGATTATAATTATTTTGTATTAATAATAAATTAATTAAAATAATATTACAAGAGAATCAAAATAAGGGAGATAAGTATAATATTACAAATCACAAGGGAGATGAGTGTTACCAAGTCGAACCTGGAGCCTGGAGGGAGGTCTTAAAAATTATCTCTTCATTTTAAGTGATTTTTAAAGATTTAGCACACCTTCACTAAAAAAAAAGGAGTCAATTAATACATTAATTAAGCGGGTTATTTTAATTAATTCATAGAAAAATGTAAAAAAGTATTGAATTAGTTCTTAGAAATTTGTTCAATCATTTATTAAACAATGGTAATTTTGAAGAAAAAAATTAATACATTTTGATTTCTTAAATAAATCACTTGCTTCCTGCCAAATTTAAATAGCTAGAAAATCACTTTAACTTTGCATGACTATTAAGAGATACATTAAGCATGTATTATTTATTATATTCAGGAGAATTTAAAGCTGCATTTTGTTGACTAGCAGCTGTGTAACAAGCTGATAGTTTACTGTAGTTAAGTTTAATTATAACATTAACTAGAGTTAGTTAGTTAATGAGTTTGTTAGTGGCGGTTAGTTGTTAGTTGTTAAATACTGTAGCTACCTGTACAGAATTCATTCATTCAGAAATGAAGAAACTTAGCTCTTTTCTTCTCTCATTTTCTCTCTGAATCTCTCTCTCCTCTCTAGCTTCAATTGATCTTCCATGGCTTCTATCATGGTATCAGAGCCATCGGTATAAGATCTAGTCGAACTAGCAAACTAATTCCTTCATTTAGGTTACTTCCATTTTGCACCTCAAATTGCAGAATTGTCTCAGAGTAATTCAGGATCGAAGCTACGGTTTGCAAGTTGTGTTCTTCGAAGCTAATTTTCTGGTAACAATGGCGATTGAAGATGATCAAGTGAATGGTTCTATTGTTCCTACTCGTACTGCCACAGCTACGACTTCAGAAAATGGCAATTTTGTGACCAGCTCCTCATTTCCTACCGTCGATCACAATCATCCTCTGTACCTACAGCCCACTAACATACCATTAGTTCTCTTATCTCTCTTCAGCTTACTGAATCTGATAAGTACACCTTGTGGAGTCGCGCAATGAGAATTATCTTGTTAGGTAAAAGCAAGTTAGGATTTGTTGATGGTAGGTTTTCTAAGTCTACGTTTGAACCTGAACTTCATGATCTGTGGGAGAAAGTGAATGCTATTCTTGTGTCATGGATAATGAATGTTGTACGGCCGGGTTTGTTGAGCAGTGTCTTATATGCATCTAGTGCTCATAAAGTTTGGGAAGATTTAAAGGAAAGATTTGATAAAGTTAATGGCTCCAGAATTTTGTACCTACACAGAGAAGTTCACACCTTAACTCAAGGAGTTATGACTGTGACTGATTACTTTTCAAAACTAAGAGAACTTTGGGATGAATTTGATGCTCTTACGCCATGTCCAGGATGTCCTTGTCCTGAGTCAAAGATGTATGCTCAATATTTTGAGTATCAAAGACTACTTCAGTTCCTTACTGGACTAAATGAGTCCTACTCTCAGTCAAGGAGCCAGATTATGATGATGTCTCATCTACCTAGTATAAACAGAGCATACTCTATGCTGGTTGATCAGGAAAGTCAGAGAAATCTTGTTAATATGCCACAAGTAGCTCAAGTTTCTGAGGCCTTGGAGAATTTAGCTATGTATAGTAACAAAGGCACAAATAATACTGGAAGCTACAAAGAAAAGAGGAATCAAGTTCAATGTGAATATTGTCATTATAAGGGAGTCCAAGAAGAATGGTGCCAATAGTGGGCAGTATGCAAACCAGATGTATAGTACAGAGGTAAACTATGCAGACAGATGTAGTATGGGAAATAGTGTAGCTTCTAATGTGGTTCAACAAGGCAGAGTTGGAAATCAGTCTAATGCAAGTGTATTACAACCACAACCAGCAAATCAGTCTGCATTCTTTTAGCAAATGCCACTCTCTACTCCTGCTTTTACTCCTGAACAATATCAGCAAATAGTTCACTTGTTATCCAAAGGAAGCACAGAAGGATCAGAATCATCAAGCAAGTCAATTGCTGCAGGTATTCTAAACAAAGTGAATGCATTTATGTCTCACTGTGTTAATAACAAGTGGATTGTTGACACTGGGGGCATCAAACCATATGACTTCTAGCCTTGAAATACTACATGACTATAAAGCACTCCCAAACACAGAAGAAAATAAAGTACAATTACCTACTGGTAGTGTGGCATCAGTATCACACACAGGAAATGCTTCTGTATTGAGCAATCATGAAATCTCAAATGTCTTGTATATCCCTGATTTTAAGTTCAACCTACTTTCAGTTTCAAGGCTTACTAAGGAACTAAAATATATGGTTGGCTTCTTCCCTGATTTTTGTATCTTCTGGACATCTTCAGTGATCATGTGAAGGAGATTGGTAGAGAAGAACATGGTTTATACATATTGCGTAGGAGTACCTCTATAACAAACTCATCTCGGTCAACAAATAAATGTGCCAACACAACAATTGAAGTTCCTGCTTCTAGTACTTCCTCTAGAACACATGTATCTAGTACTTGCAGTTTATGGTATAAGAGATTGGGACATGCTCCTATAGATGTAATAAAGAAGATAGAAGCATTGAATGAGCTGACAACAGGAGTTCTTAGTCAGCCCTGTATTGTATGTCCTGTTGCTAAACAAACTAAGATGCCCTTCCAGCTAAGTAATACTACTTCTAAGTCTGTTTTTGAGCTAGTTTACTGTGATATTTGGGGACCATATAGAGTACCTACACATGATGGTAAAAGGTACTTTGTCACCGTGATTGATGATTACAGCAGGTTTACTTGGATATTTCTTTTGAATTGCAAATCAGAAGCAATTGTATTTCTAAGAGATGTTCTTACTCAAGTAAGTAATATGTTCTCTACTACTGTTAAAATTCTAAGAACAGGTAATGAAAGTGAATTCTTTAGTACTACATTCAAGCATTTGTTGTCTGATCTTGGTATTGTACATCAGAGTACTTGTGTCTACACACCCCAACAGAATGGGGTAGTAGAAAGAAAACATAGAGCCATTTTGGACATGGCTAGATCTCTCAAATTTCAAGCAGTTGTGCCTTTAAGATTCTGGGGAGAATGTATTTCTACAGCAGTGTATCTACTAAACAAGTTACCTTCTAAGGTAATTGGGTACAAATCTCCTTTTGAAAAGTTGTATCTGCATCCACCCTCTTTGTCTCATCTCAAAGTATTTGGTTGTCTGTGTTATTCTACATCCTCTAAAGTCCTAGATAAGTTTTCACCTAGAGCAGCACCAGCTGTGCTCTTAGGCAACTTTTCTACTCATAAGGGTTATATATTGTATGATCTACATGCCAAGAACTTTGTGGTTAATAGAAATGTGGTGTTTCATGAGTCTATCTTTCCCTTCAAGCATGTTAGGGATTCAGGAACTATGGTATTCCCTGTTCTAGATCTATTATATCCTGAGTTGAATGCTTCTTCCCCTATCTCTTCTTCAATACCTACAGTAGAAAGGTCAACTGAGCCTGCTGCAGATCAAGTGCCATCTGACTTCTCTGCAGAAGTTCCCTCTTCTTCTCTAGATAGAATTGCTCCTGAACCTATTCCTTCTACTATGCCAAGTCTTCAAGACAATGGTTGTGCTGAATCATCTGCTGGTCAATCTAACCTTGCTGAGAATCTTGAAGGATGCAGAAGATCTTCTAGACCAAGCAAACCACCTGTGTGGTTGCAGGACTATGCCATTCTCTCTAAAGGCTCAAAATGCACTTATCCTATTTCCTCCTATGTTGATTATTCACATATCTCTCCAACCTTTCGACAGGCCCTCACAGCCTACTTAGCTATTACAGAACCTACCACTTTCAAAGAGGCTGCTACTGATCCTAGGTGGGTGAAAGTTATGCAGTTGGAGATTGCTGCACTAGAGGACAATAAAACTTGGAGTGTTGTGGACTTTACACCAGGAAAGACACTCATTGGTTGTAGGTGGGTGTATAAAGTCAAGTACAAAGCATCTGGGGAGGTAGAAAGATTCAAAGCTAGGCTGGTTGCTAAGGGATACAGTCAAAAGGAAGGTTTAGATTATGGTGAAACCTTCTCTCCTGTAGCTAAGATAGTTACTGTCAGATCCATAATTGCCTTAACTACTTCTCAACATTGGTTGATTTTTTATATGGATGTTCATAATGCCTTCCTCAATGGTGATCTTGTTGAGGAGGTTTTTATGCATATGCCTGAGGGGTTTGCTAGACAGGGGGAGAATCACAAGAAGCTCTGCAAACTTCATAAGTCCCTCTATGGACTTAAACAGGCTCCAAGACAATGGAATATGAAATTGATAGAAGCCCTAGTTTGTATGGGGTTTCAGCAGTCATTATGACTATTCCTTGTCCACAAAGAAGGCTGGGAGCGACATAGTGGTCATACTGGTATATGTAGATAATCTTTTGATCACTGGGAACAATCAACAATTGTTGTGTGAAACCAGATCAGATCTCAAGAAAAGGTTCAAGATGAAGGATCTAGGAGAGCTAAATTTCTTCCTAGGTATTGAGTTTGCGAGGTCTAAACAAGGAATTCTCATGTGTCAAAGGAAAAATGCAATAGAGTTAATTTCTGAGTCAAGACTAAGTGGTGCAAAGCCAGCTGGAACACCATTAGAGCTGAACCAAAAGTTGACAACCACTGAATTTGATAAGTGCTTCAATACCAATAGTACTCACTCAGATGAAGCTCTCAAGAACCCTGGTGCCTATCAAAGACTGGTAGGGAGGTTGTTGTATCTCACTATGACCAGGCCAGATATTGCATTTGTGGTGCAAGTGCTCAGTCAGTTCATGCATTGCCCTAAAGTCTCTCATATAGAAGCAGCACTGAGGGTAGTAAGGTATATAAAGGAGGCACAAGGTCTGGGACTGCTTATGCCCTCAGAATCTTCAAGTAAACCGACTGTTTATTGTAACTCAGATTGGGGGCATGCATACAAACAAGGAGGTCTGTTACAGGGTATTTAGTCAAGTTTGGAAATGCACTGATATCCTGGAAGTCTAAGAAGCAAAGTACTGTCTCCAGAAGTTCAGCAGAAGCAGAGTTTAGAAGTATGGCATCATGTGCAGCAGAAATTACTTGGTTAACAAGTTTATTCAGTGAGCTAGGTGTCAAGATTGAACTGCCAATAACACTGATATGTGATAGCAAAGCAGCAATCCAAATAGCTGTTAATCCAATACTTCATGAAAGAACAAAGCACATTGACATAGACTGTCACTTTGTAAGAGAAAAAATTAGTCTAGGACTGCTAAGAACTGAACATGTAAATACAGAAGATCAACTAGTTGATTTGCTCACAAAGGGATTGGGTAAAGCTCAACATGAGTACCTGTTGAACAAAATTGGACTGAATAACTTGTTTGAATCATCAGCTTGAGGGGGAGTATTAACTAGCAGCTGTGTTACAAGCTGATAGTTAACTGTAGTTAAGTTTAATTATAACATTAACTAGAGTTAGTTAGTTAATGAGTTTTTTAGAGGCGGCTAGTTGTTAGTAGTTAGTTGTTAAATACTGTAGCTACCTGTACAGAATTTATTCATTCAGAAATGAAGAAACTTAGCTCTTTTCTTCTCTCATTTTTTCTCTGAATCTCTCTCTCCTCTCTAGCTTCAATTGATCTTCCATGGCTTCTATCACATATTAAATAGGCATTGGACATAAATTTGGTTGAAACTTGAAAGAAAAAAGAATTTTTGAAGTTGTGTTAAAAAATAATTTTTGAAAGTTGAAGTTATGCTTGGAAATGCACTTTATTTGAAAAAAATTCACCAAAAACTAGCCCAAAAAAAATATTGTGTCCAAACGGCAGTTAAGATGGAGATCTCATATAAAATTATGGAATATTATTTTTTCCCTTCTAGGAAAGCAAAATCTATTTTGATTCAAGTAACACAAGAACTACAAACACTCAAATTGTATATTATATTACCAAATGCTACTTGGAAGCGCAAGTATTTGTTTTACCACATAAAAACAAAAGGAAGCATCGGCATCGAGTAATTTAGAAATAGATTGATGGGCAACATAAAGTTGACTTTCATTGCAGAGTAATTTATTCCAAATTCCTAGGACAATATTATGGGTCAGTTACCCTTATTTTAACTTCTTAAATGATATAGTAATAATTAATATTTTAAAAAGAAAAACACTAAAAAGCTGTAGATGTAACATCCATATCGTTTCCTCTTTATTCTTAAACACCCAAAGTCCCCATATCTCCAACACTTTAGGTGGCTCCTCCACGTGTGCTGATCTTTAACGTTATATGTGAGTTAAATTGAACTCGTTATATTTAACTTATATTGTAAATATATTATATATATGCCATTCTTTCATAAGCACTATTACTATTCTATGACTGGTCAAATATTTTCTATAAAACAAAATAAAAAAATAAATAGTGACTTCGATTTAAAAAGGAAAAAAAGAAAACGGCAAAAGGATAGGCACACGTATTCTAAGGTGGAATAAGAGGGTGGCATGTTTGCCATTAATAAATAACAACTTCTAACATCCATCAGTTAGCATGCAACTGTGTGAACTGTCTATTAGAAATTAAAAAAAGTAGTAAAAGGAATTAATGAAGGGTGACCCAAAAGTCCTTTTTAATCTATAATTGATGAACATTAATTAGACAGTTTACTGGTACACTTAAGTGAAATGGACTAATTACTAAGATAATTATATTAGGCCAGTAACTAACCTTAAATAGTGTTGTCAATTGCCACGTCTAGTATTCTAGCTAGCTTGCCTAATAGAGGAAAAAAGTTAGGTTCGCTTTTAGACTAATTAGTGTACGTAGATAAGGTTATTCATTTCACCTATACTAAAAACAATACCTTGATGCCAAGTGCCATATTTGTAGAATTTTCTACACA